CAGACACACAGACCATAGACTGGTCTGGCATCAGCTGCACTTTATGTAAATACTGTAACAGTTTATCTAATGTTGTCCTCTGATGATGCTATTCTTTTAGGTGTTTTTAATTTCTGTCTGCATTTCTTGAGTGCATTATGAACCTTAACAAAAATTTAATTATTAATTATTCTTAACATGCTCACGTTACATAGACCCTCATGATGAATGCAAATAATATTAAAAAGACAATAAATAGATTAGATTCTTACCTATGGCATTATGTAGTTTATGACCAAAGCACTGGAGCTTTGGTCACCTGATGTCTTTCAGAGCTTTAATGATGTTTGTGTCGCTGTCTGTTGTCATACAGACGAGTCGGTATTCAGGAAGGTTCCAGGAGCTCAGAGCTTCTTTTAATCCCTCTGCGATTACTTCACTTTTCTGATCATCAGGAAAGTAATCCATTTGCAGACAGATACTTTGTAGAGCCCAGCTTTTGTCAACAAAATGCGCTGTTAAACTCATATATGGTTCCATTGTTCGACTGGACCATAAGTCCATTGTTGCAGAAAAAACACATCCTCCAGCACCGTGTTGTTGTAAAGGTGTGGCAGGGAAACTTCGGCGAAATATTTGCGGCTAGGTAGCACATACCTGGCGTCCAAAGTTTTCAGCAGCTGAATAAAGCCGGTTTTTTCCGATGTATAAATAGGCACCATATCTTTTGCGATGTAAAACGTGACGGCATCTGTGATGGCTTTCCACCGGGCACTCGTCTTTTCGTAGGGAACGCAGTTTGACAATGATCCCCCTAAGGTAGCTTGTCTTTTGGTGGTGCTTTTTGGGCTGCTGCTAGTTTGACTTTGTCATGAAGAGCAGCATTTCTCCCAGTCCACAGAGTGCCTCTGTTTCAGGTGTTGGAACAAGTTTGTTGTACTCCCGCATTTGGTAGCAACAGCCTTCCAACAGATTTTGCAACAAGCTGTTTGTTGCTCCGAGTCCGCGGTTGCGAAACCAAACCAGTTCCAGATAACTGAAGACATGGTGCCTTTTTTGGGAAGTAGTTCCTCTTTGCTAGTGTCCATATTGTCTGCGTCTTGAGGGACGGGACGGGCGGGGTGAAACCTACAGACCTCCGAACTACGGAAGCCCCAAAGAGTGCACTCGTGGGGGGAAAAAAATCCAGATTTCCCCAAAATGTAATCGTTATACACAGCAAATTCGAATTAATCAATAAAATCGATTTATCGCCCAGCCCTACCTGCTTGCTTGTTTTCTTCATGTCTCCTTCTTTTCTAGTAGGGAGGAGTGAACTCTCACGTCAGGTATTTGCCAGGTGCTCTGTCTCGTAACCTCTGTGGAATGAGAGCCCCGTGAATGAGCATTTAGCCAGAGGGGCATCTTCAGTTTTTCCAACGCCTTGTTTCAGTGGGTGGCACCACAGAATGCCCACCGGGCACCATTCCAAACCTTGGGTTTGCCAAGAGGTTTTCTTTGACACTACTTAAGTTTTGTAAACTTCAAAAGCAATGTGAGGGTGACCCCAGTTATGAATCCAGAGGAATACAGAAGAAATTTTGCCAGCTTGGACTGAGGAGATGGGAAGCGATTCTTACAGCTTCAGCAGCTGCTGTTGTGTGTTGTTTTCACAAACTCCGGTCCAGGTCAATTCATAACTTTGTGTTTCTGAATTTCATAAGTTTTCGTGGGGTGGGGGTGTCATTGTAGTCTCCAAACAGAATTATTGTTTATCGCTTGTTTTTTTTTTATTATTCCTAAGACTATTTATTGTCCAGCACAATTTGTTATTGTGACAGGCCTAATTCAGATATTAATCCTTAGTAGGTGATGTAACCACTGGGTGAAACAAGCACAGCAGATAATAAGTTAGTCAGCTCTGATTGCTCAACAGCTGCCAAATCGATCAACCTATGCTAACATGTAGCATCTATATTTACTTCTGTAAACACAGCATACTGTGTATGTCATCAGTTCTTCTTAGGGTTGGGTAATATTGGCATAAAAATTTATCACTATTAGCTGATAATGGTAAATACGACAATTAATAGATGACAACTGCACGTTGTGGGCTTGGTCTGCATTTTTTGGCTTTTCTCATGCTCTAGTTTATGTCATTGTTTCAGCTGATTACACAAATTTGTAGGGTATGGGTTGGTTAGCTGCTAAGTTAGCTGTTAGCTGCTCCACGCTGCCTTCCACCAGTGGACTCACATGTGTGCCTGATAGTGATAGTGTGTCATACACAAAACATGCCATCACATGGCAGTAACTGCTATAATTGCAAAGAGGCAAATATTAATTGTTGACACTTATTTGATGACGATTAATTGCATGCGATTCGATTTGGCCCGATCTTACTGTGCATTCGGGTTGCTTCAGGGCTGGGGATTGTTCACACCAGAGTCTGATGGAGCTCACTTTTAAAACACAATTTGAATGACCACACACACAAAAATCCCCATCCGAGTAAAGAAAAACCCTGCAGTGTGAACATGGTCTAATTTTAGAAGCTCAAACTATGTTCACATACAATTCGAGCAACTGTGTCATACATAACTGACAGCTTGTTTGTTGCTTTTAAACAACTTTTTCTAATATATATTCCATTTATAACACTAACTTTTTAATAGTAAAGAACTTTTACCGCCGTCGTAAAACGCAAGCTGAAGTTCAGCTGCGATGCAACATTTGGTTCAAACTAACTGAAGCTTCAGAGCAGCACACAGCCGACAGAAGACTGATCATTTTGTAAAGTGGGTGGATATGTGGGCTGAGACATTTGGTTTGAAACCACGTGTAGGTCTGGAATAAACTTTCATAATTTTTTATGTAAATGCCATCTTTTATCTAAGGGTGGCATTCTGCTCTCTAAACAAGCAGCAGAATCCAGTCTAGAAATCAAAATCACGAGAATACTCAACTTGTAAACAATAAAGGCCTTTAGGGCACGAGCAGCTAAATGACGATTTGTTCCCTCTGTTCTAGGAGTCCTACCCCTCAACTCCGCCCATTTGGTTTGTTGACTCAGATGATCCTAGTCTGGCTGAAGTGTTGGAGCGTTTGGAGGATGTGAGGAAAGGCAGCACGTTGGTACGCTGGTTCACCAAGGATCTCCTCCATCTTTTGTTTGCTCCATTTAGTCTGTTGAGTAATTATTAATATTCTGCTCCTTTTGATGTTTTTGCTTTTTAGCTTCTTCAGCAGCTGAAGCGCCTCATTTGCGATCTCTGTCGACTTTATAACCTGCCACAGCATCCAGATGTGGAAATGCTGGACCAGCCTCTACCTGCTGGTCCGATTACCCAGGAGCGTAAGGTAGGCCCAGGAAACGAGCTCACTCTCTGATTTTCACTTTCAGAACCTCAGTATTTATTTACCTGTGATGTTTAATCCTCCTCCAGCACGGGCCTTCAGATGAGGTGACGTCTGAAGAGGAAGAGGAAGAAGAAATGGGAGAGGTGTGTCTTTTTATGTTTCTATCAGTCCATTAGATCCAGTAAGGTTATTTTATTTGTTTTTAAACTTGAATAAACGGTGGCAGCAGGACATAGACTTGGACCCAGACCTGGACCATTACGAAATGAAAGACGAGGAACCAGCAGAAGGCAAGAAGTCAGAAGATGATGGAATAGAGAAAGAAAATCTGGCCATCTTGGAAAAAATCCGCAAAAACCAGAGACAAGATCACTTAAATGTAAGCGTTCCTTCTGTTTCTATTCTTCCTGATTAGGTTTAATAACCATAACCTCTCTGAACATTTTGATTCTTTTTCTTAACTCCCAGATATTACTTATTGTTAGGATTGTCTGAAAACTGCTGGCATACAGAGCTTTAGAACCTCTTGTTTTTCTGTTCTGGACCTTTTCATCACTTGTATTTCAGGGTGCAGTCTCCGGTTCAGTACAAGCCTCGGATCGTCTAATGAAGGAGCTCAGGGAGATCTACAGGTCACCGAGTTACAAGACAGGTGAGGACAGGCATCATCTGTCGCTCTGCGGTGTTATTGTTTAAATCATGTCATCATCTGATCAAATAAAATCTGTTTTTCAGGTATTTATTCAGTCGAACTAGTCAATGACAGTCTTTATGATTGGCACGTCAAGTTAAAGAAGTAAGTTCCACTTTCCACTCATCTCTACAAAATGTTCCTTCTCTGAAATGTGACAAAATGTTGACTCCTCTTTTTGTTTGCAGGGTAGACCCTGATAGTCCGTTACATAGTGACCTGCAGGTTTTAAAAGAAAAGGAAGGAGTGGACTTCATTCTGCTCAATTTCTCTTATAAAGTGAGTTCAGTGGAAAAAATCTCTTTCTGGGAAAAGGGACGGGGAATTTTCTACAGAGTTTTATTTGTGCTTTTCTTTCTGACAGGATAATTTTCCTTTCGACCCACCTTTTGTACGGGTCGTGTCACCCGTGCTGTCCGGAGGGTGAGTGTAATAATTTCAATCTGACCAAATCACATATAATATTTATATTACTAGACTTATTTCTGCACACAAATTTAAATCTTCTGACTTTGCTAGAACATATTTACTCTTTTGCTCTACATTTTAAGGGGAACATAACCTAGTTGTAGGATTAGATATAATGAACATTTACTTGAACAAAATAAAAGAGACGAAAAACAATGTAGGCTGTTTAGTTTTTATAAATTTAAAAATATATTGTCACACAGACGTCGCCATGTTATTTATGTCGCAAAGCGTTCTCCGTAGAAGCTCATCTTTAGCCTTTTAGCTCCCAAGCCAATTAATACAGCATTAGTTCCCAAGATAAAAATATTAGTTTTGCAGCTAATTTACCAAACATCATATTTGATCATTTTAATTTTTAACTGTCCAAAATTTGTCACAATCTATGGCTTTTTAGCCTTTACTCTTTGTGTTATCATCATCCACAGAATGCATTGCGTCATGCAATGGCGATGTGCTTAAGTGAAATACATGATAAATCTATACATTTTCAAACAATTTATTAGATGTTTTCATGTGTCACAAACAACTTTTATTTAAATAAAGAAATAACATTTTATGGTCAACACGTGAGTAGTCTGAGATCCCTTTAGGGACGTATTAGGTGTGTTTCTTTGAGCAGGATAAGTTATGATGATTAGACTTTCTCTGCTTCCTTACTAAGCATCTGTCAGACCCTTCAGTTTCTAATGAGTGCACTATATGTGGTTTGATTTTGACTAAGTATAGGCAGTTTTAGCAGAACTATTTGTTAATAATTAGATTTTTCTTTAAATATTTACTCTCCAGCTGACACTGTTTTCCCACTGTTCACCCATCGGCCATTAATTTAAAAACGAGACCAGCTTGCAGTGATTTGTGTTTCTCACGTCCCATTCTTTCATCCTTTACTCTCGCAGGCCTAATTAAGTGTCAGCGCAACAACAAACTGTTAAAAAGCAGAGAAGGCAACGAGCGCTGATCTCAGCTGCCTGTTTAAGACTTGGGACTGTTGACTTTTCTGTGTTTTTGCTTAAAATGTGTTGTGATTTCTGTTAACCAGCAATATTCTTTTGTTTTTACCGGTCCAATGGATCAGAGTGGAGGGAGCTGCAAGTATTCTGGCAGTAAAGCTGAGCTCACCTGTGACCTTAGTTTACACTTTATCATCCTTTCAAAATAAATTACCAAGGCATAAAATATGAACCAAGACTCCCACTTCTTATTCATGCATTTTAACTTATGGAAATTACACATTTTTAACCTTAAAACAAAACAGATCTCTTTATATTTTCAAAAAAAATGTTAAAGTTTTCCTGTACATTTGATTCATATATTTTATTTATTTATTAAAAAAAATATTTTTTGAAGCAAATAAGCATGAAGCATGATGAGCATTTTTAGATGATGGTTGTTAATCCATAATCTGCTCGGTGTTAATGATATTTCCTGTTTCAGGTATGTCCTGGGAGGAGGAGCCTTGTGCATGGAGCTTCTCACAAAACAGGTGCGTGCATGAGTTTCACACAACCTGCATCAGTTTTGTTTATCTGTCATGGTCGTGTGAGCTGGGTTTTGTTTGTTTGTGTTGTGTTTTCAGGGATGGAGCAGTGCCTATTCAATAGAATCTGTCATTATGCAGATAAATGCAACTCTGGTTAAAGGCAAAGCCAGGGTGCAGTTTGGAGCCAATAAGGTAACGTCCTTCGTGCTCTTATTTTGATGACTTATCAGTATCTCAAACTACAGATGACTGCATGTTTTTAATGCACTATTGTTGGGCTTTTCTGAGAGTTTAGTAGAATTCAAACTGAACACTGGTTCATTTAAAGCTCAAATACTTTGATTGGATTTCTCTTTGTGCCTCAGACTCAGATTTATTTCTTTATTTTAGAACCAGTACAATCTTGCCAGAGCACAACAGTCGTACAAATCCCTGGTGCAGATTCACGAAAAGAACGGTAAGTTACTGTTTTCAGAAAATACGAGCGTTAATTTTTTTTTTTAAAACCGCTACGTTTTAAAAAAACAAAAACCATTTTGTTTGTTTGCTGGTCCAGGCTGGTACACACCGCCCAAAGAAGACGGATAAGGAGCCGCCTCCTCTATGCACTGGGAACACATCTTTGGGTCATCTTGTTTTTCCTTCGGAATACTTTCCCCCTCTTCTTGGACTGAACTGGGAATATATCTTTTTTTTGTTTTTGGTTTTTTTCTTCTCACAGAAACCATCTCGCTGGCTTCTCTGACAAGTATTCTGTCGCTCGGCTCCAGGAAAGATTTAACTCTGGTCTCACTCCCGCCCTCCTCTTCTTCCACCTCAGTGTTTTTAGTGCCGAAGGAGAACACAAGGCTAACACTTGTCCTGTTTTTTCTTAAAAAAAAAAAAGAATGCCCGTTTGTCTTTTTTTTTTTTGGAAAAAAGAAG